GATGGTTAGACAGTGTCAGCGATGCAACGAACATGAAATTGAGCCAACTTCGGAGGACGGCGGAAGACAGGAGAGCCTGGCGGGAGATTGTCCATGGGGTCGCGAAGAGTCGGACTCGACTGTGCGACTGAACAACAACAACAACAACTACAGACAGATATGACTACCCTGTGAAACTATAAAAAATGGGTCTCTTAGAAGATTTGTTGTAGAGCAGCAGGAGAACATATTTTCTACCTTTTAGATGAAGTGAAGATTAAAGCTGTGCAGTCTTATCAGAATCATATATGTTTGTAAAAAGTATTTCTTGGTATATGTATCTTTGCAGGTTTGGAGCATCACTCATACCAGCTGGCTGGCTTTTGTCCTGCTGATTTGGTCCTGTATCATCTGGATGGTGCGCAGCCGTAGCCTCTGCACCCTGCGGAGCTCCCCCTTCCTGGTCGCCTATGGAAACATCCTGGTGACCCTCAATTTCTTTGTGGGACTGAATGTTTCACAAAAGGAGCTCTTTCCTGGAGTTCCAACTTCACTGCTTATTGATCTGGATTTAAAACCTTATTCGTTGCCCTGCATCCACCTGGCAGCCAAGGTGAGTCCCTCTCAGTCCAGTACTGGTCTCCAATTTAAGAGCGAGGCCTTAACATATAATACGGAATACTATTTTTTTTTTTAAAAAGAAATCAAAACCAAGCGTACTGAATCTATGATCTCCAGACTTTGTTGCCAATAAGTATCCGTACTTCCTTGTGGCTCCTTCTGTGTCAGAGCCTACAGCCAACAACGAAGTACATGCATTCAGGTATGGTAATACTTTTATTGCAGAGCTATAGATGCAGTAACATAAGCACTGTTAAGAATGGCGGCGGCCCCATGGGCATAATAGGATATAGGGTATTCGTATGCACTCCCCCCCCCAGAGCACTAGCCAATTAGGCACCCTTCGGCGCACGGGATAAAGCTTGGAGACTGTTAGGTATCTAAAGCTGAGAACCAACACTCTCCCACGGCACCTAGGAGAAACCCAGACAATACAACTCCCTCCTGCACATCTGTATAGATAAGCTTTTCGGCACAAAGCAGAACAAGCACAGAAAGGAATGCATTAGCAATTAACCAGACACCAACCGAGCTCCCCAACCCCCACGGCAGCATAGCTGACATTCTGTCACCCTCTCTTCTCTTTGGGCCATTTCAGTGCATTACCTTTTTCTGATAGTTTTGGAAGATTTTTCAACATGTCATGTGATCAGAGGATTTGTTCTGGTGGTCTCGATGTGCCTGAAACTCTGTCAGATCCCCAGTCAATTCACTCTCCACACATACTTTTGGCAGTGTAATGCTTTATTAGAGATATGAGATGCCGTGGGTTCAGAACCATCTGTTAGGACTGGAGCCCAAAGGCGGGAAAATACAACATATAAGTAAAACTCCAAAATGCCATTCACTCACACGTAATGCATTTCTATGGCAACCCAGACAGGATATATGGTCACTCTATCTAACCTAGCCTGGCATGGAAATCTCCAAGGACAGTCTCATGAGAAACCGTCTCAGGGCTTGCTTCAAGATGTTACAAGCAATACTCCCTAATACTCTAACAACACCCCCCCTAGGAATGTCACATGGCGAGCGAATGCAGAGGTACAGTGATAAGATGCAGAAGGGTGAAAAGCGAAAGCTAAAGTCTAATAAGGCTAACAAGAACACAGAAGGCCTATTTATGTGCCAGAGCTTGACAAACTCTGACACACTTTTTCTCATGTGCAAATTGTATGGCAGTTTAAGAACTTCTTGTACTTTCCCCCAACCATTTGGAGGACAATCATTTACTTAATCTTCTGTCCAGAAATGAAAATTACATCTTTCTGGCAGTTGCCAAATATATCTCGGCTTTACTGAAAATTTGAGCTACTGCCATTAATTCAGCACCTAGTTAAATATGCAATGATTCTATTTTAATTTGATATTTTAAAATATGTACTCGATATTTACTTTTTGCTAAAGTGCTGAATGTTCCTTTTTCTTGTATAGTTCTATTATTGTTATATTACTTTGTCTAAAAGTGCTATGTAGACTTCCTTGAATAAACAAATGAAATTAAATGGACGGTCTCCATACTGGGGGTTGGATGATGAGCAGGATGGGGATATTTAGGATGTACTGCATTAACAATCTTTTAACATTGTGAAGACCAACAAATATTTATACTGTTTAATACTTCTAAACTAGTTAAGCAGTGACTTGCTACAGTGATGTAGCCTTGTGTCCTGAACCCCAGATTATTCTGAAATTTCACCAACCAGTGCTCACACACTCAAAAAAATCAGTGTAGTCATGAGCAATACTCCCTCTAAGCTGTGGAGCCTTGTGAGCAAAAATTCTACTTTGTGAGCCACTGGCATTAAAGTTGTGAGTGAGTGATTTGGCTACTGCATCACTTAGTTTGCTCTGGAGCCATCCTTCCTGAGCTAAGACAAAAATGTGTGAGCCGGAGGCTAAAATACTGTGAGCTAGCTCACACTAACTCAGCTTAGAGGGAACACTGGTCATGAGGACTAGATGAATAATTTTTTTTAAAAAAAGTGGAAAATGAGATTTTCTTTCCCCCCATCTAGTTACAGGCAACTTATGGCGACCCCAAAGGGTTTCCAAGGCAAGAGACCTTGGAGGTGGGTTTTCCATTGTCTGCCTCCGTCTAGCAACCCTAGACTGCCTTGGCGGTCTCCCATCCGACCTTGCTTAGCGCTTCTGAGATCTGATGGGATTGGGCTAGTTTGGGCCATCCAGGTCAGGGCAAAATGAGACTGGGAATCTATAATTGTGTGCCTGAAGGGAAGGCAGTATGTATAACCTGATCTCATCAGATCTTGGAAGCTAAGCAGGGTCAGTCCACCAAGGAAGACTCCGCAGAGGAAGGCAATGGCAAACCACCTCTCCTCGCGCCTTGAAAGACCCTTGCTGAGGCTGCCATAACTGGGCTGCAACTTGATGTCATTTACATATGAAAGTTTCGTGCCTACGACTGTCCTATTTTGTGGGCTTTCTGTCCTTACAGTACACATATAGTCTAGACCATTGCGGCTATGCAGAAATGTCTTTGGAATGTGTTGGCAATGCATCATGAGATTTCAGAAGCTAGAAAAGGGTGCTGATAGATGTAGACAAGGTTTTCCATAGACAGAGAGACCTCAGCCTCTGGGTTTCTTTCCTTATAATCCACCGGCAGCCAGGTCTCCATATTCTTTCTTCATTCCTTTTCCTGAGTTCTGGCTTTTAAGAAGTATCTCCAAACTGAATATATTGGGCAGAATAGTCAAATAAAAATCACATATCTTGGCATGATTTACAGTGCAATCCTAAACAATCTAAATCCACTGAAGAAGAGAAAGACCCAACAGGAATTGGGTTGACCAAATAAAAGAAATCCATGGCCTTCAGTTTGCAAGACCTGAGCAAGACTGTTCATGAAAGAACATTTTGGAGGCTATTAAGTCATAGGATCTCTGTGAGTCATAAGGGGCTTGACAGCTCATAATACACAAACGAACCCGTTGACTTCAACAGACATAGAAGAAGAGAAGAAGAGGAAAAGATTGGATTTATACCCTGCCCTTCACTACCCAAAGGTGTCTCAGAGCGGCTTACAAACTCCTTTCCCTTCCCCTCCCCACAACAGACACCCTGTGAGGTAGGTGGGGCTGAGAGCTCTGACAGAAACTGCTCTTTTTAAAGAACAGCTGTGCCAGAGCTACGGCTTGTCCAAGGTCATCCAGCCAGGTGCAAGTGGAGGAGTGGGGAATCAAACCTAGTTCTCCAGGATTAGTGTTCACGCACTTAACCACTGCACCAAACTGGCTCTCTGTTTAGGATAGTCTGCTAGTCTGGCTAGAGTTCATGTGTTTTTTTGGGCCAGGGCTTTTCATAGACATTCTTCATCCTTGAGCTCCAAAGAGAGCTGTGTTGCTTGTAGACCCAGTTTATGTGTATGCAATATGTTTATGTGGTTTTATTGCAGATTTCGTACCTGTTTACCTTTTGGCTCTTGCTGAAGCAGCATATGGTGCAAAGGCAAAAGCAGAAGAAAGAGGAAGAGGAGTCACTTCAGGCTGTGACAACAGATGAAGCTGGTAAGAAAATTCAGTACCATGTAAAGGGTTTTTGTTTTTTTAAAAAGAGCTGTCAAGTCGCAGCCCATTTATGGCCGCCCTGGTGGGAGGATTTTCAAGGGAAGAGACAGAGATGGTTTCCCATGACCCACCTTTGCATAGCAACTCTGGATTTCCTTGGTGTTGTCCTATCCAAGTATTAACCAGGGCTGCCTCCGCTTAGATCCTGGGATTGGGCTAGCCTGACCATAAAGCCCACAAAGTTTACCCTGACATTTTTAAAATGCTTTTTAAAGAGAAGTGGAGTTTATTGCATCCATGCAGGCTCTAGCATTCTAAACTTAAGCATGTGCAGAATGATCCAGAGATTTCTAAGCAAAGTAGCACTTCCAGGTTTCCCTTGGGTTTATCCACTTATTGGATGATGGGGGAAGAGGACAGAAGAGAGGGTTTCTGTACTGTGCATTCAACAAAGTCCGAGGAAAACAAAAACATATGAGATGCAGGAATTTTGTGAACAGAGCTTCTAATATCCCCCCCCCCCCAGATTCAATGATGAAGTTCCCGGGGGCCTAATTTCATGGCGTGTTTGTGCGAAGGTTTAAACCTTCCCACACATTTTGCCAAGCTGAAACCTACTTCTGTCCAAATCACTATTGTATTGGTTTTATTTTCTCAAAAGGCACATATAGCAGCTCTCTGTGGCTCTGTGAGTGCATAAGGGGCAGAGTTGCCAACTTCCAGGTGGTGTCTCCGGGGAGTTCCCAGAATTACAATTGCTCTCCAGATGCCAGAGTTCGGTCCCCCTGCAGAAAATGGAGAGTGGAACGTATGTGATTGTGACCCACTGAAGTCCCTCCCGTCCACAGTCCCCTCCATCAGTATGCTCTATCCCCCAATCCCCATGAATTTCCCAACCTGCTGTTGGCAACCCTAGTGAGGGGAAGGTTTAACCCTCCTGTTTGCCCTATGACCTCAATCACAAGCTGGCCCCTGCGTGCCTTGTAATGGAATTTCAAAAGAAATGGGAGCTCCGTTCACTGTGTTCCTGAATTGCTCCATTTAGCAGAGTGAAACAGAACTATGAACTGTCTAGCTTCAGATGGGCAGTGGGGAAACCGCATTTACGAATGCTCTTCAGCAGAGCAACCTCAGTGGCCTGTATCCGTGCCATTGTGTGCATAACAATCATTTCTATCAGCTGTTGCTACATCCAAAGAAGTGGGTATTGATGAACGGTCCCAAGAGACTTTCATAAGTAAAATGAAATGACAGACAACTAAGATGGATGAGGATGGCTTTATAAGTGCAGTCGTCTTCACATGCTGTAGATGGAAATGGTAATTTATAATGCCCTGGTGGCATTTCTGGTTGATTTTAAACTCCTGTTTGCAGAAACGGACAAACGGCGCAACCCGCTTTTGGATTTCTTTGGTTCTGTGCTAATGGAGCTGCTTGTAAAATATTGGATTTACTTCTGCTCCGTTATGTTTTTTATCGTCAGCTTCAATGGCAAAGTTGCTCTGTACAAAATTCTCTACATTGTACTTTTTCTGCTTTGGGTGGCTTTATATCAGGTAAGCAAACCTAGAATCTACCAGATCTGAAAGGCCATTTTGGGTTACTTTGTGGAAGTTGTTTGATAGTAATTTTGAACTCCCTTTTTATCAGCATGATATTTGCCACAGGCCTAGTACCCCTCTGCATATCACACCTAATCCGATCATGCCTGCTATTGTCATTTACCTGCTATTGTCATTCAGCATATGAAATCACTCTATTCTCCAATGTTCAGCTGTAATCCTGCTTTGGCATTTTCTGCTTTAACTTTAATGGTAGGATACATATCAGTATTTTTTAAAATGTTGACAGTATTTCAGAGTGGAACTGTATGAGGGAGGAGAAGTGCTCTATTGCAGCAATCCCAAACATTGACCCCCACAGCAAACAGCCACTCCTGGCTCTCTTCCAGCTTGGGGAAACTCAGTGAGTTCAATCCCATGAAAAACTCCGTGAGTTCAACCCCATAAAAGGGGAGGAAGTTTTTTGCCAATTCTTGCCTCAGCAGCCCTTCAACTTCTGAAGCTGTTTAAAATATAGACGTATTTAAAATGTCTGTCAGCTTATATACTAAGGCATGAAATGGCATCCTTCGGTTTCAGGTTCATTATGAGAATTGGCGGCGAATCCTGAAGGGTTTTTGGCTGACCGTCGTCTCATACTCCATGCTGGTCCTCATTGCTATTTATGCGTACCAGTTTGAAATGGTTTCTGAGTTTTTCTTAAAGACCTTGAAAATACCAGAGGAGAGGTAAGGGCTTTCAGTAAGATTAAAAGTATTCTACATTCATGTTCCCCCTTGGCATTCATTACAGTAAGTTCTTAAGGGTGCTGCATAGTAGCAAATACAGACTTTGTTAACATTCACATGTAGAAGAGAAGAAGAGAAGAGATTGGATTTATACCCCGCCCTTCACTACCCAAGGGAGTCTCAGCGTGGCTTACAAACTCCTTGCCCTTCCCCTCCCCACAACAGGCACCCTGTGAGGTAGGTGGGGCTGAGAGAGCTCTGACAGAAATGGCTCTTTCCCCCCCCCAAGAACAGCTGTGCCAGAACTATGGCTTGTCCAAGGTCATCCAGCAGGTGCGAGTGGAGGAGTGGGGAATCAAACCTGGTTCTCCCAGATTAGAGTCCACGCACTTAACCATTACAAGCAGGGACCCACAAGAATAATGGGGGGATCCCATCCTGCCCCTCTTAGCTCATTTGCCTCTCCATCTTTGGTCTGGTATCCCACTCCCCTCCCGCAAAGACAGTTTGCCCTTCTCCCTTCCTATACCCAGTATTATTTACCTGTGCAGTGGAAATTCTGTGGATGCCTAGGTATATTCAAAGGAACCAATTTATAGTTCTTTCTGCAATAAACAGCCAGGAGGGCTGGAATGGTAAAAGCTGGCACTCAAAATATATGTAAGTTGTTGATTTTTGTATGCTGTGGAAATGCAGGAGACGAATTGCTGGTTGGCTCATTTGTGTGAACAAGAATACCTGTTGCAGTTACCGATACTCGAGGACCCATAATAGGAATTAATTCCTTTTTTTCACCAGACTGTCTGCACCCATTTTCTCCCTTTTTAATTTACAGGTTAAAAGATCTGGGTCTTGAACAATTCAGCACTATAGAGCTGTTTGCAAGGATTCTGCTTCCTGCTGCATTTCTTCTGGCTTGCATCCTTCAGTTGCATTATTTTCATAAAGATTTCCTGAAGATCACGGACCTGACTGATATTGTCATCAAGCCTAAGTACCGTGCATGCTGTAATGAGTTTGTGTATTGCATTCCTGAGAGATCCGTGTCTTTCTCTGAAAAATTAAACCTCAGCAGCACCTTAAAGATTTTACAAAATTTTCTGCATACATTTTTATGACTCAGAGCTCACTTCATTGGATGCATGGGAGTGTGCATCCACAGAGGACACATTTATATTTCAAATTACAACCATCAGAAAGGTGGGAATGAGGAGATGTTAAAAAGAGAGGCCAGTTAGAAACAATGACCAGTTGACAAAAATTCTGTCTATTCAGAGCGGGTGAGGAGTGCTCCCACTGTAAATAGAGTAGGAAAATGCCAACCAAGGAGAAAAGGCAGGATATAAATATTTTAAATAAATAAAATGAGATCTTATCAAGGAAGAAGCTGAATGAAACATAAGTAGAACTAACTAACATCTGCAAAGTGCAGGTCATGCTGAGCTATTAGTAACCATAGTGAATGAGAACAATGAAGTCTTTATTCAAATCTGACAAAAATAGTGTTGAATATCTTGATGAATTCTAATTTAGCACTTTTGTGTTGGATTCTCCCTTTGAAGTTCTTTTGCGTTTCTTGTGTGTGTCAGACTCCTAAGCATTTATTTGGTTAGGCACATTCTGCTAGATATGGTAGTGGTAAGATATGAGGTTCAACAAGCCTTAATCATAATCAGATTTATTGTTTCAGAACACAGCCAACATGAACAGTGAACTCCACCCTCTTCAGCCATGCCTCAAAACTACAGAGGCTGAAGTGGTCCAAACAACCCCAAATAAAAGGCACAGCACCCTCAGACACTCTCATATACTTTGCTTTAATTCATGGAAAGGAGGCATATAAAATATTAATCAAACTGCAAAACTAGAAATAATCTTTTTTCGTGTGCAGATGCTCTGAGACTGTATAATGTGAAAATTATATTGATTTTTATTGTTCTTTGTTTCAATTTATCCTCTCAACCACCATGTGAGTTACACGATTATTATTGTCATGACTCAGATGGGTAAGTGAGGTCAGGATAGGGTTGCCAGCTCTGGGTTGGGAAATTCCTGGAGATTTTGGGGATAGAGCCTGAGAAGGGCGGGGCTTGGGGAGGGGAGGGACCTCAGCAGGGTATAATGCCATAGAGTCCACCTTCCAAGGCAGCCATTTTCTCCTGGGGAATAGATTTTGGCCATCTGGAGACCAATTGTAAATCCAGGAGATCTCCAGCCACCTCCTGGATGTTGGCACCCTAGTTGAGGGCATTTTTGAACAGGGAAATACTAGTGGCTGGTTTAGTATTAGTTTGCTGTGACTGAAAAAAATAGGCACTGAGATTCTTTTATTTCTCCACAGTGAGAAGAAATCTAAGACCCGCGTGACTCTCCTGGCTAGTATGTGAGTCAGCTTTACCTCTTGAACCATTCCAAAAGTTTTCCCCTATAAATTGCCTCATATGCCATTAGTTTGCTATAACTGAAGAAAATTATTTTAGAAGTGCTCTTTGCCAAGTCTGGAAATTTGGTTGCAGGAAATATGGTTCGTAAGAATTATGGACGAAATTTCAATGTTGAAGCAGGATTATAATAATAATTATTCACAGAAACTCTTTACACAGTGTTGGATAATATTTCTTGATTTCTGGAATAAGAGTTTTCCATTGGAATCTGTAAAAAACGAAGTGCTGAGCTTGATGTAATGCTTGGTTTTAAAAACCTCACTAGACAGTGTGATTATATTAATAGGAAGGACTGCAAGGAGATTGGGTAACAGAGGAAATTTTGTATAATTGCAGTTAAACAAATTTTGGAGATTTGTATTGTATTTAATGAAGTTTATGTCTGTAATTTTTGTAAACAAGAACAATAATAATTTAAAAAACCAACCCATTTGGGCACCAAAGAGGAGAAAACTCTTTGTGTGGAACCAGCCAAAATATGTGTCAGATGAAGTTTTGTAGAGGCCCTACTATTTTTTTAATGCAGGGGATGATCATAAAAGAGCAGATAATGCATTAGCTTGACATTATTACACATTGAGGCTATTGATTTGTATGCTTCAGACTCTGGGTTTTTTTATGTTGCTAACTACTTTGGAAACCAGTTATAGAGTGTTCACAAAGGACCCATGGAAACATAATATTGAACAGAGAGATTTTATAGTCAAGTCAAGTAATTTATTGTATTTAGCCATTGGCTGTTACAAAAAAGTGATTTTGTATCTCAGCCCAGAAGATTCTACCACGTTTGGCTCAAGAGTTTTCAAGACTTTTGAGTTAGCATGATAATTATTTATATTGTTTTTTATATTTCACTTTTTTTAGCCTGAAGGATAATATCTTGAGATTGCAAAAGAGGTGAGCATGAAACAAAGGATGCAGTAAGTATGTACGTGTGTCTGTGTAAATATGAGATATTCCAGTTTGGTCCATCTCCGAAGTCCCTTGATAAACAGAGAAATTTATTCATAACACGTTACTCCAAACCAGCACAGATGACACACTGGATAAACATTCAGGTGGACATGTAAGTGAAGACACTGCGCTGAATTAGTTTTAATATGCACTCAGATGTGAATCAGCACCCACATGTTAGTTGCATGTTAATGCCTTGTTTTGCATTGCAGTGGTTCAGATGGACATACAAGTGAAGACACTGCGCTGTATTAGTTGGGATGCACGTTTTAATATGCACTCAGATGTGAATCAGCACCCACATGTTAGTTGCATGTTAATGCCTTGTTTTGCATTGCAGTGGTACAGAATAGTTAAGCCCACTGTAGGCCCCAGAATAAAACTGGACAGTCTCAAACAGGGCAGACTTGACATATTTGGACTGAACATATTCAAGCCATCTAAAGTTATGTACCTTTCATTATGAAATATTGGAGACGCCATAACATAGTACACAGTGATGCCCTTGCATTGTCATTGCTACTGTGTGATGTGACCAACCAATAATGGCCATCTTCATCAACTATTTTGTACCTGGGAGCACACTGCTCCACCCGGCAAGCAGGTCATGCAGACAAATCAAACTGGAAACCAAGGAGCATGTGCTGCTCTAGCCAGTTTGGTGTAGTGGTTAAGAGCGACAGACTGTAATCTGGAGAACCGGGTTTGATTCCTCACTCTTCCACATAAAGCCAGCTGGGTGACCTTGGGTCAATCACAGCTCTCTCAGAGCGCTCTCAGCCCCACCTACTTAACAGGGTGTTTGTTGTGGGGAGAGGAAGGGAAGGGGACTGTAAGCTGCTCTGAGACTTCTTTGGGTAGTGAAGGGCAGGGTATAACACCAGCTTCTTCTTCTTCTTCTCCTTCTTCACCTCCGTACTCTCTTCCCTGCCTCTGTACTCATTCCTACATTCTGTTTCGAACCATGCCCCAGACCTCAAAGCTGTCTCTCATCGGTGGTTGCCAAGTCACTAGGCATGGATATTAATTTGTTTTCTTTTAAACCATAACGCAGCAGAGCATTTTCTGGTGCACCTCTCACTTAAGAAGTTACCTTACACCTGTGGGAGAAATTATCCTTTTTAAAAAGTGGGTATGAGAGAGAAATTTAGTTTCCTATTGATTTCCTTAAGTAGCCACAAGAAAAAACTGCAAGCACATTCCAGGATCTTGCCAATTCTTGCCTAAAAATTCAGTGCCTGTAAGCTTATAGCGAGAAGCTTTCATTTTGTACTTAAATGGCCCAGTAGGCGTATGTTCAAACATTCTCAGAAGATTGCATCATGGGGGATGATATATATGGTTGTTGTTTTTTAAAATTCCCCAATATCTTTGTTGATCAGTAAACTGATGAAGTATTTTAGCTGTTCCTGTTGGAAGTGAAGGACTAACGCCTCAGACTTCAGAGGAGGTCTATAAGAGAGTCAGAGAGATCGAGAGATCAGGCACTGACTATCTCTGAGAGCCAGTTTGGTGTAGTGGTTAAGTGGGCGGACTCTAATCTTGGAGAACCTGGTTTGATTCTTTGCTGCGCCGCAGGATTGACGTATGATCGGCACCTCCCCCCGAACCACGGGACGTCGGTGGGACGTTTGATCTGGCGGCTGTGTGGTAGTGCGCTCCCGGGGCAAACAGCCACACCTCCCCCCCCACGATATCCGGCCCGTGTGACCGGGGCCTTGAATAGTCTTTGCCTGAACCAAGAAGTTAGTGGAGCTTCTTTGGTAGAATGAACACAATCCACATTTCAATTCACCCTTTGTGTCACTCAGTTGAGGAAGTCACAGCCCTCAGTCTGCAAGACATGATCAAGGCTGTTAACGCTAAGATATTTTGGAGGACATTAATTCATAGGGTTGCCCTAAGTCGAAAGCGACTTGATGGCATTTAACACACATCTCTGTGTCACTGCATGAGCCCTGTTGAGATGTTACATTTTGGAAAACCAGCTGCATATGCAAGGGGACTGTGCTCTGTGCCTTTTGATACGTGCAGCCACCAGTTTGTGTGAATAGAGTAACATCCATCTTTTTTCCAGCTTTAGTTCACTAGCTCAAAAACCCAGATTTTGCTGGAAACGGAAGCTGGAAAATATTCCCATTACTTTATTCAGACAAAATGGCAACTACATGTACCAAGAGGATGGTCCTGGAAGAATTTCTGTTCTCACGAAATACCACAAGCAGTTGTGTACTGTTTGGGAGGGGGGAAAGTGACTTGGGCCCCGGTCACATGGGCAGGAAAATGCGGGGGGGAAGCCCCGGAGCAAAATAACGCGCGGCTGCGCAATCAGACGTCCCGTCGAAGTCCCGTGGTTAGGGGGGAGGTGCCGATTGTCACGGCAGGACCAGGGGGCGTGACACAAGCAAGCAAAAGTCCAGGAACAGTCCGAGGTCAAGCCGGGCAAATCAGGTTGTATATCCGGCTGCCACCAGGAAATTTAAGGCTTTCCAAACCTGTATACTATACTATTCCTATCACTGGGTAGGTAGGTCGGTTTTAAGGCTTTCGAGGTACTAATGTGGTCCTGGGAAGTATTTCTTTCAGAACTGGTATCTTAAATAAAAGTAGATTTATTGATATAATTCGTAAATAATATGGTAGTACCCTGTAACTAGGAATGGGTAAATACTAAACAATTGCTTTGATATTTCACACACTTTTCTCTCTCACTGTCAGGGATCTTGGCATATAACTTTGTAACACTTTTTTCCTTAAGGCCATATACATTTACTGTTTTCACTTTAGCCTGTCACTCAGACTTTTTACTTTTCTCTTTAACTTTACTTTCTTGTTTCATATACATTCAACTTTTCTTCATACACAGAACTAACTCCTAAGCACCCACAAAACTGCTTCTCTCCCAGACTTCAGAACTAACTCCTAACAACCACCGTCATCCTTCAACTGTCACTCTTGACTGACATACCCATTCATCCACTAATTTTTACTTCAAAAACCCCTCCCCCTTTCTGCCAATCACCAATCACACCACTTGCCTGTTTCAACCACTCTAGACTATCACACAGCCATGCAACTAAACTTTTAAAAACACACACACACACATAAAACACGGAATCATTACAATTCCCATTACTTTATTCACACAAAATGGCAACTACATGTACCAAGAGGATCAAAGGTAGTATACTCTCCCATTATGGGAGGCTGATATGCCACAATTGTAACCACTGAGCAGGGCTATGGGGGAATATTCATTAGAACGAGAAATTACTGCCTTATAAAGTTGTTTCACTACAAAATTATAAGAATGATCAACGTTCATGCTGAGCCCTCACACATTCTGCTTTGTGTACACTATTTCTCGCTGTATCTAAGGAAGTGTGCTTGCACACAAGAACTTATACCTCAAATAAAACTTTGCTTGTCTTAAAGGTGCCACTGGATTTGAACTTTGTTCTGCTGCTTCAGACCAACGTGGCTACCTGCCTGAATCTATCTCATAGCCTTAGTAAATGTGTTTTGCCTGAAAAACCTTACGTGATTTGAGACGGAGATTCTAGAGCCCTACAAGTTTTCCCTTACAACAACAACAACCAATAAGCTGTTAAAACTTACAAGCAGTACCCCAAGGCCTATGGGATAACAGCAAATACTCATTTGCCCTGAGTTAATTGAAATGTCCCCCCCCCTTGTTGTCAACAGGCTTGCGGCTGAAAAGCTACAGGATGATCTTAAAAGTGGATCAGGCTCCTCTGAGTATATAGCCGTGGATGAAACCGTACGAAAGAGTCAGAATGAGAAATTAGGTAAGGAGGTGCTATTCACTGATGAATGAGCTTTAATTTGTACTAGTAAATGCAGCTTGGACTTTCCAAGCAGAGATACATTCTGAGATGAATGAAGTCCACTGGGTGACCTTGGGTTGGTCATTCTCTCTCAGCCTAACTGAACTCACAGAACGAAATTCAAGTCCAGTGGCACCTTTAAGACCAACAAAGTTAACTGAATAAACCTTTGTCGGTCTTAAAGGTGCCACTGGACTCGAATTTTGTTCTGTTGCTTCAGACCAACACGGCTACCCACCTGAACCCACAGAGTTGTTGTGAGGATAAAAAATGATGGAGAGACCCGTGTATGATACTCACAGCTCCTTGGAGCTAGGATATGATTTTTAAAATGTACTCAATTATTATTTTGAAGACTTTTAAATTTATATGTTTACATTCTATCTGTTGTGGAAAAACCCATCTGTCTGCCTGCCTGCCTGCCTGCCTGTCTGTCTGTCTGTCTGTCTGCCTGTCTATCAATCAATCTATCTATCTGTCTATCTATCTCAATCCAGTTACCTTTATTGGCATGTAGTATCTCTCTCTCTCTCTCTCTCTCTCTCTCTCTCGCTCTCTCTCCGCCTCTCTCTCCTCCTCCCCCCCCTATCTATCTACCTATCTCTCTATCTACCTATCTCTCTATCTACCTCTCTATCTACCTATCTCTCTATCTACCTCTCTATCTACCTCTCTATCTACCTCTCTACCTCTCTACCTCTCTACCTCTCTACCTCTCTACCTCTCTACCTCTCTACCTCTCTACCTCTCTACCTCTCTACCTCTCTACCTCTCTACCTCTCTACCTCTCTACCTCTCTACCTCTCTACCTCTCTACCTCTCTACCTCTCTACCTCTCTATCTCTCTATCCCTTCTGTTATTCTGTTGTTTCAGCAGAGATATACATTTGCCACCCAACCTTCTTTTCATACTGTAACACTCGGCGTGGATTGCTTTTAACAAGAATCTTTAATTTTAGTAACTTCATTTCCACTGTTTTAAGTAGGTGTGCCATGTCTGCCAATACAAGCCTGCATTATATCTCAGTTTTTGCCAACCCCAGAGGTGTCTTTGAGGTTAATTTCATTTCAGATGGATCTGTGTGCAGGGCAGTTTAGCCCTTTAACTAGCTGGGATAGTCACTGGTGGTCTCTTGCTTGGTAGTTATTGGTGGCCAAGTCAGTTTGATTTAGACCTAGCTGAAGGTATTATGGGACATGACCCATTGTTATAGCTTTTGCCAGTTGCCACACTCTGGCTGCGATCACATGCGCCTTTAGATCCGACATAGCTGCGAATGCCTGATGGATCTAAAGGGCACGATCAGACAGCAACGTCTGGAAGCACCCTGCAGTCGTCGGCAACCCGTGCTGCTCTGCCACAGAAGCGGAGTTATAAGACACCAAGGAAAGTCCGGCTCTAACGATTTCTGATGGGTTACGGACAGACTTTCCCCTGTCTGATTGTGCAAGCGCGCTCTCATGCCATCGGGATGGTCTGGTCATGCCATCCCAGCTTGGAGCTGTTCCTCTCCCCTTTGCAGTATGCGCATCGTCGCATATTCCATAGGGATTGTGGAGGTGCGATTCCTCGTTCAAGTGCATGAGAAACAAACGGCCAAAAAAGAGAGACTCACCCATGGTTGTTTCTGATCACGCAGTAATGGGCTGAGCCCGCAGCTTGAAATGGCTGTGTCATCTCACAGCTGCATGTCAGATTCCTCTGGAGGAGATAGACTCGCTTCCCCTCCGCTCCAACTGGCACATGTGACTGCAGCCTCTGAGTTCAATAGCCTGACATGCCAGTTTGGTGTAGTGGTTAAGTGCGCGGACTCTAATCTGGGAGAACCGGGTTTGATTCCCCACTCCTCCACTTGCACCTGCTGGATGACCTTGGGCAAGCCGTAGTTCTGGCACAGCTGTTCTTGAAATAGTTTCTATCAGAGCTCTCTCAGCCCCACCTACCTCACAGGGTGTCTGTTGTGGGGAGGGGAAGGGAAAGAAGTTTGTAAGCCGCTCTGAGTCTCCCTTGGGTAGTGAAAGGCAGGGTATAAATCCAATCTCCTCCATCTCCTCCTCCATCTCCTCCTCCTCCTCCTCCATCTCCTCCCCCTCCTTCTTCTAAAACTAGGGCCCAGCTCTGGTTACAAGCTCTTTATCTTGATATGGTTGCTTTATGTCATTCCAGAAACTAAAGACGTCTTCCTCTCATGATTCACAGGGTGGGATCCTTGCTGAACCCTGCTTAGCTACTGAGATTGGCCTCCTCACTCTTCTGCCCACTCCTAAATATTTTTCCCCTAAAATATTTTACAACAGACTTAGCCTGCAATCCTATGCATACTTACTTGAAAGCTACCTGACTGAATTCAATGTATAGGGTTGTGGCTTTTAGCCTCCAGGACCTATAAGCAGGGGTCATTTCCTGCAGGAGCGCACAGGAGCGGAGCTCCGGCAGTAAAGACCCCAGGGGGCGGGCACATGCAACCAGCCCCGCCCCCAGCAGCCCTGGGCCACAAGGAGCAAGAAGCAGCCAGGTAAGTTGCAGTGGGTGTTGCCTTCTGACACACTTCCAGTGATGTCAGGGGGTGTGGCATATGCAAATAAGTTATGCTAATGAGTTATGTTAATGAGCTCCTGCACCTCTTTTTCTACTAAATGACCCCTGCCTATAAGCATATACCACAGACTGAAATGGGTTTGATAGTTATTGCCTTTCTTGAGTGAACCCTGGGAACTATACTTCTGTGTGGTGGGCTAGCCCTACCCAAAGGAGGATTCTTAGTTTCATCACTAAGCCGCATTCTCCAGGATTTTGGGAACAGATTACCATAAAACGTAATGTGTTTGCTATGGATCTGCTTTATTTCTCTGGCCTCTACTGTTCCTTCATCCTTCTGTTGAGCAGCCATAAAGTGCCACCTTCTGGCAAAAAATTGCCAGAATTCCTTGTCATAATTTGTATTTTTTTTAAAATGTGTTCTATTTCTTTAGTGGAAAAGATAAGTAAATGGATAGAAGCGGTTGACAGTTTGGAATCCCATCTCCTGAAGCTCACAGAAGCGATTTGTGCAACGCAAGCATTTGCATGGCGATTTCTGGAACTGCACATCTTTAAGATTCTGTCCATTTGGATCATCTGGATCAGTGTTCATGCGGTCAGCAAATAACCCTTGTGGTGTGGGGGCCATTAATTATTTCCTGGGGCTCACCTCCTGTTATACTCCTGTTATAATATACTAGCGAACGTCCCATCCTTAGGACCAGAAGTGTGTGTGGTATAGATATTGCAATGATCCCTAAATCTCAATGCTTTGCACTTAAAAGCCTTTCCATCTTAACTCCCCTACAGAGCCCTAACAAGTGTGTTTTTCATATGGGGATGAGCTTGTGCGGTTACTCCATTTTTTGCTGCAGTTTTTGATACCGTGCAGCAGCTGCAAGAATTCCACATGGCAGGTTCCCTGCATTTTCCCTGCTCCAATCTCCTATGGCAACTCTTTTAAACATGCAAATATGTCACATGAAAATGGACATCTCCCTGTGATCAATGTGTTGTTTGGACTAGCCCTGAGCACCACGTATTGTCTGATCAAGTAATAACATAAAAAGTGCCACTTGCAACTGGAGCTGAGGCAGAGCTGTAAGTGGTTTTGTGTTTTGTGTAGAGATGTAAGAGATAAGTGGCTCTCTGAGACGCAGAAAGATACTGTGGAGCGGATGATTTCGGCTAAAATTCTGTTGTTAAATGGCTTAGGGGGACAATTTTCTGCAGGTCTACTCAGAAGTAAGTCCCATTTTATTCAGTGGGGTTTACTCCCAAGAAAGGGTTCTTAGGATGGCAGCCTTAGATGCATTATAAGGTTACATGTTTTGCTTCAGGGGCTTGTAAACGTTGGACAAAAGTACGTACCAATCAAAATTTAAAGTTATTTTTGTGTTAGAATGAAATGTAACTTTTGTGCAAAGTCCTGTTATCATTCTGTTCTATTTTCGGTCATGGCCTTCCGCTAATACAAATACTAATTTGACAGAAATGGCTTTGGAGTTCTTGGATCTCTAGTTGTATGCGGAACTAATTTAGGGTCCAGTGGCACCTTTAAGACCAACAAAGGTTTATTCAGGGCTCTCTGGTTTTTTTCTGGAAAGCAGCTGGCAGACAAGTCAAGCTAAGAAGCAGATTGAGGAATCAAGCCAAAGCAGGATTTTTATTAGACCAAAAGCAACTCTATTGGTCTTTGTGACACATGACTCCTGCTGACTGGTAGCTGCAATATCACTTCCTGACCATCTGCAGTCACAGAAATACAGCAAACAGCAAGCCAACAGTGCCTTTCTTTAATAAACTCCCATGGTGGCATAGAGAGTAAGACATCCGTCAGAGTCCATGTTTTGAGATGCTTGTTCAGATGTGTGATTTATTTATTACATACATATGAGAGCCACTGTGGTGTAGTGGTTAAGAGTGGCAGCCTTTAATCTGGAGAACTGGGTTTGATTCCCTCCTAGGGGGAAGATGACTGTAAGCAACTCAGACTCTTTAGGATAGAGAAAAGTGGCAGACTCTAATCTTCCCCACTCCTCCTCCACATGAAGCCTGCTGGGTGACCTTGGGCCAGTCACAGCTCTCTCAGAACTCTCTCAGCTCCACCTACCTCACAAGGTGCTGCCTGTTGTGGGGAGAGGAAAGGAAGGCAATTGTAAGCCACTTTGAGACTCCTTAAGGTAGAGAACAGCGTTCCGTGCGCCTTGGTGTTTAGTCATGCCGGCCACATGACCACGGAAACGTCTTTGGACAGCGCTGGCTCTTCGGCTTTGAAACGGAGATGAGCACCGCAACCCTAGAGTCGGATTCGACTGGCTTTCGAGCAAGGGAACCTTTACCTTTACCTTTTAAGGTAGAGAAAAGTGGGGTATAAAAACCAACTCTTCTTCTATCCCTCCTTTCTTTCCTCATGGAGAAAAAGGTAGCATGAATAGGGTTTCTAGGAGGCCTCCCATCAAAGTTCTGGTCTTATCCAAACCTGCTGGGTTTCAGCAAGGTTTCTCCATCATATCGTTTACCTTTCAACAATACCCTGGAACTTAAAAAGTTTGGCCCCATTCCTAACTTCATTCTGATAACTATATTTGAAAACAGAGGAGTGATTCATGTGTGTTTTGATATCTCTTAAGAAAAATTTTGTCAAGTGATTCTAGTCCAGGGCAGTGTTCCCTCTAAGCTGAGTTAGTGTGAGCTAGCTCACAGTTTTTTAGCCTCCAGCTCACTCATTTTTGTCTTAGCTCAGGAAGGATCACTCCAGACCAAACTAATTCATGCAGGAGCCAAAGCGTTCACTCACAACTTTAATGCCAGCAGCTCACAAAATATAATTTTTGCTCACAAGACTCCACAGCTTAGAGGGAACATTGGACTCCAGGGTCCCCAATTTTTGGAATTCTGACACAGGGTGGTGGGCGAAACTACAAAATGGCTGCTGCCCCATGAGACAGAGCCCTATTGCCAGGCCCCCCGTTTTGGCAGGGGTTACCTGCTTTGGGGGGGTTCTTCCCACTGCCTGGCCAGCTGTCTGGAGGGGGGAGCCCCACCCCCAAGTCCCAACACCTACAGCCACCCCTCTCCCTTCTCTCTTGAGAGAGAGGGGTGGCTGCAGGCTGTGTGCCTGATCTCTGAGTGGCAATGCCGCTCGGAGATCGGGTGCGTGGGGCCCTCTGGCTGTGGGCACTTTAAGGGACCCCTTTAAGTGCTCGCAGCCGGTGGGACCATCCCCGTGTGGGCGGGGCTTGGAGCTGGGACATCGCCCACGTGATGTCATCACATTAGGGATGCCACACCCCCTCCGGGAATGCCCCCCAAAGTCCCCCATCGGGGTCGAAGATGGACCTGGCAACCCTGAGGCAGAGCCAGCCACAAAATGGCTGCCCCAGGAAGTGGAGCCAGTCACAAAATGTCAGGAAGTGAGGTTATGCATAACTCTCATAGTAACTCTTCGACATTTCTGGCAGAAGCTCTGTTTAAAAGGATGCCCTTTAAAGTGAATATATTGGTTAAAAATATTTTCTTGCATCTTCACGCAGTGAAGATCCTTGTGCTGCAGTGACAGCTCCTGCAAAAAAAACAACTTTTAAAAAATCTGCACATCCAATGAGATCTCAAACGGCCCTGCTAGGCAAAAGCCCCACATGGCCCTTCCCATTTCTAAAAAAAACACTGGGTGGGTGCCATGGTGCTCACGGTCACCGTGTTGGGAACCCCCTGCTGAGGGTACAACTCATAAAACTGCTGCGACATTCTTATTAGTTTCTTGAATGATTTTACCACGTGTGGACCAAATAAATGATCAGTTAACCTGCTAGGAAGTTAAACTGTCTTCTACAAAATGACTGTGGCAGTGGAATGCCTCTAGAACGTTGCATTGTCATCATTCACCCTATAGTTTTGTGATTAGAACTGCATAAACTGAAGCCACAATCTCCATTACTGCACAGTGATTCCAGATTTTTTTTTTTGCATGCGTTTGATGTTTGTCTCATAGGTGTCCTTGATGAACTACCCTTTCTTTGTCCTCTTGGTGTTTGCGCTGCCTTATCCCAAGGTCCGCCCACATGCTTCCAGGATCTGCACGCTTTGGTCTTGTGTGATGGTTGTCTGTCAAATGATGTACCAGCTGAAGTATGTCAAGCCCTTCAAATATTCTTCAGACTGCACCCAGGTCAGCTTACTAGTGTCCTGAGGACAAAGATCTCTTGAACATTTCCTGAACTTCATTTCTGTCTCTTAGAGAAGGTCTTTGCGGGAGCTTTTTGTTTTAATTGTTCGGCTGGTGTCAAAACCTGCAAAAAAAGAGGAACCAACACATTTATTATTAAATAAATATTCCTCCATGCGCACTGGTGCTGTGACCTTCCCACTTTCTCCTTAATACCTGTTTGGTGGTGACTTTCAAGTTTTCTGCCTTAACCCTTCTTGCATCAAGTTGTCTGCTGAGGGACAGTTTGGTGTAGTGGTTAAGTGCACAAACTGTAATTTGGGAGAACCGTGTTTGATTCCCCACTCCTCCACTTGCACCTGGCTGGATGACCTTGGGCAAGCCGTACTTCTGATAAGAGCTGTTCTTGAAAAAAGAGCAGTTTCTGTCAGAGTTCTCTCAGCCCCACCTACCTCACAGGGTGTCTGTTGTGGGGAGGGGAAGGGAAAAGGAGTTTGTAAGCCACTCTGAGACAACTTTGGATAGTGAAGGGCGGGGTATAAATCCAATCTCTTCTCTTCTTCTTTTCTTCTTCTACCATGAAACCCCTAGATCAGGAGCACCCCCCCAGATTATTGAGTCTCTGAGTGCTTTTGGGATTTTTAGAACAGGTAGTGGGCACCACAACAAAATGGAGGCCATGGGGGAACCAATCACAAAATGGCTGCCAAAGGGGCATGGTCCAACCACAAAATGTTGGAAGGTTCTACAAAATGCTAGGGGGCTCAAAACCAAGCATCCTGTTATGACAAAGGCAGCCATTCTGAAATGGGTGTTCCCCACATACATAAAGGTGATGCCTCAGCTTTACTGAACTACCTAGTACTCCAATGAAATAGAGGAAAGCCAGGACTGGCTCTTTGTTTTGGGGAAGAAGCAAGTGAACATAAGAACTTAAGAACATAAGAGACACCAGTGTTGGATCAGGCCAAAGGCCCATCCAGTCCAACACTCTGTATCACACAGTGGCCAGAAATACCAGTGCCATCAGGAGGTCCACCAGTGGGGCCAGGACATTAAAAGCCCTCCCACTGTTGCCCCCCCAAGCACCAAGAAGACAGAGCATCCCTTGCCCCAGAGCCCCTATCTATACCTTGTGGCTAATAGCCACTGATGGACCTCTGCTCCATATGCTTATCTAATTCCCTGCCCATTATCCCTTCTGAACTGATTCCCAAATTGGGCATGACACACAATGGTTTTTTAAAAAATTATTTTAAATGTTTAAAATTCACATACATACTGGGGATGTTGTATATCCCTTTACCTTAAAAAAGAACCCAAAATCTATTATTGGACTGCAAATTTAAGTAGAGGAGCATTGAACAGAAGAGGCTGCTTAAACCTTTCCTCTCCAGAAATTTGTCCTCTTAAAATTGCTTTCACCCTAAGCTGTTTTTCCAGTAATGGGGGGAAAGATATGGGAAATCGTGACCCTGGACACTCTTGACTCTCTCTTCTGCCTCCACACAGCAAAGGAAAGACAATAGAGGGGGGAAGCTAGCTTCCCCAACAATGATGGTGTCATTAATGGACATATAATAACTTTCTAATGAACATTAGTTTCCCAGAAGACCATTTGGAAGAAGACCACTAGAGTAAAACCAGTAGTCTGAACAATGATACCGGTACAAGTTGAGTTACTCATCTGACCTAATGAATCATAGTAAAAAGAAAGCATCAGGCCTGTAGCCACGGTGGGGCATTGAGGGGCTGTGCCCCCTCACTCGTGCCCCATGTCCCACAACTCCCTCTGCCCCTGCCCTTAACTCCCAGCTGCACTTGTTTGCTTTGGCTCCTACAAGAGAAGGAGAGCCAGTTGGTGCAATTAATACTCAGCGAGTATGCACTCCCTGCTGTTCTCCTTCTCCTGTAGTGGCCAAGGTAAATGAGTGCGGCAGGCAGGTAAGGAAAGACCCTTCTCTTCTTTGCCTGCCTGCCTATCTGCTGATGGGATCTCTCTTTCTCTCTCTTCCCTCCCCTGCCCCCCCAGATTTCCCAATGCCCCACCACCCAAATTTTCTGGCTATGCCCCTGGAAAGCATCAGGGTACGGTTGCCAACAGAGTATGATTTTTTTTGCAAAAACTGGAATGTTTATCTCTGCAGGGGTTGCATCCAAATATCACTTACCAGTATGGCAATATGGATGAATTGTTAAATAAATCCTTGTTGTACATTGCACCAGTGGACCCAGCATACTGGATCGGAGGGTTGATGAAGTGCCATGACAATGTTCTCCCTTGCCTAAAGGTAAGGACCTTATCAAAGTTCAGGAACTAAGCACATGATGAGGTATTTTAGACACTGCAAAATGCTTATTGATGTGTTTTAATCATTTTTATTTTAGAACTGTATATATCTTGCACTCTTAACTGATTAATTTCTGAGCCAGCTTGGAAATCTCCAATAATCAGTACAACATGATCAAAGTCCAATCCTGAAAAGTCAAATAATCAAACAAAATATCAAGGAAAGTGTCAAACAGCAAAAAGCATCAATCTATATATCTAATTTTGAAGATGGCCCCAGAGTGTGGATCAAAAAACTCACACAATGGGGCCAGGTATGCAAAGAAGAGATGTTTCTACAGATCTGGGAAACCCCGGGTTTCGAGGGGAAAATTGTTTTTTTTAAATAAAGAAGGTGATAAAATAAAGTTTTAACATGCCGAGATCTTGACAGCTGTTTTGGATTACCTGGGCAATGATGATGTCTGTGATTGCCCAGGCAATTCAAAATGGCTGGTGCTCTTCCATTTTGAAACTTGAGGTAAGTTGAGTGGGAAAGAAGGACTGGGGAGGCAGGAGATTCAAGAAGAAAGATGGAGGGAGGAAGCAAAGCCAGAGCTGAGGGAGCGAGGAAAGAAAAACAGCACAAAAGGAGGGGGAGTTTGGGGCTGGAGAGAAGGAAAAAAGTGGGGAAACAGGAGAAGCCGCGAGGGAGATATAAGGAAGAACAAGGGGGAATGTGGCAGGCAAGGGGGGGAACTGAAAAAGGTAGGTGGGAGCAGGGGTCATTTTGTAGAAAAAGAGGTGCAGGAGCTCATTAGCATAACTCATTTGCATATGCCACACCCCCTGACATCACCGGAAGTGTGTCAGAAGGCAACACCCACCGCTCAGGCAGACACCGCAAAATGCTTGTTGATGTGTTTCAATCATTTTTATTTTACAGCTGTATATATCTTGCACTCTTAACTGATTAATTTCTGAGCCAGCTTGGAAATCTCCAATAATCAGTACAACATGATCAAAGTCCAATCCTGAAAAGTCAAATAATCAAACAAAATATCAAGGAAAGTGTCAAACAGCAAAAAGCATCAATCTATATATCTAATTTTGAAGATGGCCCCAGAGTGTGGATCAAAAAACTCACACAATGGGGCCAGGTATGCAAAGAAGAGATGTTTCTACAGATCTGGGAAACCCCGGGTTTCGAGGGGAAAATTGTTTTTTTTAAATAAAGAAGGTGATAAAATAAAGTTTTAACATGCCGAGATCTTGACAGCTGTTTTGGATTACCTGGGCAATGATGATGTCTGTGATTGCCCAGGCAATTCAAAATGGCTGGTGCTCTTCCATTTTGAAACTTGAGGTAAGTTGAGTGGGAAAGAAGGACTGGGGAGGCAGGAGATTCAAGAAGAAAGATGGAGGGAGGAAGCAAAGCCAGAGCTGAGGGAGCGAGGAAAGAAAAACAGCACAAAAGGAGGGGGAGATTGGGGCTGGAGAGAAGGAACAAAGTGGGGAAACAGGAGAAGCCGCGACGGAGATATAAGGAAGAACTAGGGGGAATGTGGCAGGCAAGTGGGGAACTGAAAAAGGTAGGTAGGAGGGAGGTGAAACAGGGAGAAGGGAGTAGCTGTGGAAGCTGTGAAGGGAGGCGGAGGAGGGAAAGTGAAGATTGTGTGGGAAGAAGGATTGGTGGGATAAGAGTTTTTGTGGTCCTCCACTTGTAAATAATTGAGCAACAGCAATGAAAGGACACTATTCTGTGTACAAATACTATAAAGATTACAAAAATGGTTTTATGTATGATGGGGATTGCGATCAGCTCTGCTGTTGAGCGAGATGGATACTTGTTCAAGGCTCTGGTCTGTAGCAGCCACAAACCATCTAGCTGTTGGACATGGTGACTAACATCACTGCAGCTGATGGATTCAGGCAAGGGAGGAATCAAAGGGACAAAGGCATCAGAAGGACCAAGCTATAGATCAGGGGTGTCGAACTCATTTGTTATGAGGGCCGGATCTGACATAAATGAGACCTTGTTGGGTTGGGCCATGTGTGTCATAAAATGTAATGCCAGGTAGCAGAGATATAAACTTTATAAAGGACACAAACATAAAAGGTTTTTTTTAAAAAAACTTAAAATAAAAACATGCTTAAAACATTACCACTCCTGCAATATTTTGTTTATTTAACAGTGAATGATAACTGACACCTCTTGCTCTGAATTATTGCATCAAAATGTCTGTGCTGTTGCAATCTTGAGTATGCTGTTCAGGTGTGTATCTGTAAGCTGCAAACCTACGATGATGCAGCAGCAGCAGAACTGGAGGAAGCAGCAGAAGACAGCCAGTTCCACTGCGGGCCTGATAGAAGCCTTCTGGGGGCCTGATCCGGCCTCCGGGCCGCATGTTTGACACCCCTGCTATAGATGAAGGTGGAGGGAACATGGTTGCCATGGATTAGAAAGCATTGGGCCTTTCCCTCTGCATTTTGTAGGCTCACCTCACCATCCTGGTCCTCATGGCACTTGAAGCAACGGTGCACCGCCACCAGCTTTTCTACCGCACCAAGAACCAGCTGATCCCGCCTGCCACGGGGAGCATGTTCGATGGCATCACCCGGAAGAACCTGGATGATGGGCTGCTCAGCTGTATCAAATACTTTATCAATTATGGTTTCTACCCGCCCGCCACGGGGAGCATGTTCGATGGCATCACCCGGAAGAACCTGGATGATGGGCTGCTCAGCTGTATCAAATACTTTATCAATTATGGTTTCTACAAATTCGGGCTAGAGGTGAGAAAATGTTAGCAAGGGAGTGGCGTGCCTCTTGGGTGGGCAACTTGGAGGACAAAAACTACGATTTGGTTTAAGGGGAGCACTTATTTGGCATGATAGCAGAGACCCAAAGAGGAACCCAAGATGAAATTTTCAGAGCTGAATAGACAGGGAAAGTAAAGGGACAAATCGGGTGAGGAATTAGCTGCAATAACAGGACAGATTTAGCTTAGAGGAAATACTATTAAAAGGGCATGATATGCTGATAGATTTCAAATAGCCAAATGGATCTCAGGAAAGGAAGTCTGCTTAGATAGGGGCTCTGGGGCAAGTGATGCTCTGTCTTCTTGGTGCTTGGGGGGGGGTCAACAGTGGGAGGGCTTCTAATGTCCTGGCCCCATTGGTGGACCTCCTGATGGCACCTGGTATTTCTGGCCACTGTGTGATACAGAGTGTTGGACTGGATGGGCCTTTGGCCTGAGTCAACATTGGCGTCTCTTGTGTTCTTATGTTAACCACCAGAGACAGAGCAAGAAGCACTGGGTAAACCACAAGAAGGTAATTTTGAGCTGGAGGAAATGAGATGAGGTTTTCCATTTTTTCCTGCACATTGCTATGGATAGGGCTTGAGGCTGAATGAGGACGGGAGCTGTGCAGGCTCAATCAATCCCAGATTATGTTCTTAGAGTATGCGAAGCAACACTGAAAGTAGGAGCCTTTTTTGGAAACCTGAATATGAGATAACTGGGAACTCCCTGTAAGAATGGGTACATGGGTATAATAATAAGAAAACTAGTCATTAATATGAAATAAAAGGGGTGTAATATTGTATATGACAACAGAGTTCTAGTCTTTGGCAACTAAACCGTAGCACTTTTTTTTTGGGGGGGGAGCATCCACATGACACTGTGCTCAAATTGTGCTCCTGTTGTCCTTTCCCTGTCCTTAGAACATTCTGTCCTAAACCTGTTTTGCTACACTCTTTTAGAGAAGAGCACTATCCAAATGTGTTATTACACCATTTCAGTGGGAAAATGCAGTTTTTCAAAGGTCCCCCATGCTATGGTGCCATTTCCTTCTGTCAGGTTTCCATGGCTGCCATTTCCCTGCCATGCCACTGGAGGACTTTTTAAAGAAAACCAAGTAATTGCTGTTGCACTGGTATAACATGATAGCACTATATATCTTTAAAAAAAAGTCTTCAAAAAGCTGTCCAGTGGGGGAAAAGTGCAAGTAAAATGTTAGCTGACATAGGAAAGTGCACAGAAAACTCCCGTATGGATGCTCCAATGCCAGCGTGTCTCTTGCATTTGCAGCAGCGATGAATACCAAAGAATCCTTACCTCATGGATGCAGCCAGAATCTAGATGACTCAGTTAAAACAATGGAGGGCGAAGCAACCTCAAAGTTCGTTCAGTGACACCCTCTGCTCTTTCAGATATGCTTTGTGGCTGCCGTTAATGTGATTGGGAAGCGCATGGACCTCTACTCCCTGATCCACGCAGGCTGGCTTATTTACCTGTTGAACCGCCGTCGGAGGAAAGCAATGGCTGAAGTCTGGCCCAGATATTGCTGCTTCCTTGCCAGCATCTTGGCCTTTCAGTATCTGCTTTGCATTGGCCTCCCACCTGCTTTATGCCAAGGTAAACCTAACACTTTGAATTCTGGGTAGTTGTAGGGCAAGTGTGGTCAGAGTCAATAACAGATGTTTTGTTGAGCAAATGACTGGCTGGGCTATCCAGTGGGCAGAGTTCCTCTGAGCAGTTTCCTTTGAATGAAATACCTCCAGTCAGTGGGCTTTTCTGCACGCTCAACTTAGTCCTGATTTTCCTGGCAGTCAATCCGCAAGCACTGGAATTGGCTTCGGCATGGTTCCTCCGCATGTCTGCCTTTCCTGTGCATTTTCACAGTTGTGGAGTCAGTTTATTTCCTTCCGCACGTGCCTTCAATAATGAGGATTTTCAAAGGAAGGTGCTGTCATCATGGTGATCCCATCGGTGGCACCATAGCACACTACTTTTTTTGAAAAAGTCACTACGATATTGATATAGCACATGGAGTGCTGTAACAATAGGCTTAGCAGGTGGAAGGGGATAGAGACTTACTTTTTTTAAAAAATGAGAGCTGGGGATTCAGAAACCCTTCTAAGCCTACTGTTACAATGCTCCAGTAATATATCAATATTTTATTACCTTTTTTTAAACAAAGAAAAAGAGATCACTTGTCTTCAGGGTGGGGAGAAGGAGAGGGAGTGGTTTGACCACGAAAGCCCAGTCATCAAAAAAGTGGGCTGGAGGTGGATGGGAGTGGGCAGGACAAAGAAAACTGACAGAAACATTATACGTGAGGAAAAAGGTGACTCAAAATTGACTTCCAGAAAATATCAGGGTAAAAGTGGGCTCAAAAGAACAACAACAAAACCTGAAGTGAAAACTAAAGGCACCAAAATACATGTGGAAATCAACAAAGGTTGTTCATATTTGCATTGGAAATATTGAACAATTCAATAAGAAGAAAGAAGGAGATTACGGGCTTGAAACTAAAAGGAGAATAATATAAACTGTTAGCATTTGCAGACGATCTAGTATTTATACTGGCGAACCCTCTGGAATCAATTTATACTTTGAAACAAGAACTAAGAGACTATGGACTTGTAGCTGGTTTGAGAATTAACATTAATAAAACCAAGATAATGACAAAAATATGGAAGAAGAGAGGATAACTCAATTACGAGGAATATCACGCTTTCAAATACAGAAGAAAATAAAATACCTAGGAATTGTAATGACAAATAAATGCAGCTCATTACAAGTGAATAACTATGAAGAATTCTTGAGGAAAACAAAACAGGATCTAGAGAAATGGAAGGATTTACAGATATCCTTGATGGGCCGCATTGCAACAGTTAAAATGAATATACTTCCAAAATGGTTATTTCTATTTCAAACAATTCCTATTCTTCAAAATCAAAAAATATTTAAGGAACTGGAGCAAGCGATATCAAAATTTATTTGGCAAGGTAAGAGACCTAGAATAAGACTGAAAGCACTTCAAGTTACTAAAGAAAGGGGAGGCTCTGGCCTTCCCAATTGGAACCTTTATTATACAGCAGCCGCATTAACGTGGATTAAAGATTGGGTCACATTGGAAGATAAGAGAATATTGAAACTGGAAGGCCATGACCTTCAGTTAGGGTGGCATGCATT